TTAATGAACAATTCTGTAATGTCTAATATAGGTACAGTGTTGTAAAGTATTTGAGTAAAAGTATTCAAATACTTTTTTCCGTATTGAATACTTTTTTTTATTCTTTTAATTCTTAATTTGTTTCTAAATAATTATTCTTGTTAAATAAAAATACCATGCCGTCGTGGTTTTACTTTAACATTATAACAATGTAATATTATATATTTATTTAACTACTTTATTTTAAGAGTATTTGATACAGAGAGTATGCAATACAGATGTGCAATGCGTCTGCAACGATTGCATTGGTAGGTACAAAAACAAAATTAAATAATAAATGTACCGAAAATAGTTGTTTTAAGGAAAAGATATTCAATATCATTTCAATTACCATAGGTACTTACTTGATTAAATACAAGAAAGTAAAACACACATTATTGTAAAACAAATGCATTCATTGCTCCGCTCCGCTCGAATCTAAAACTAAAGTAGGTAATTGGAGAACTTGTCTGGATAATACTTTACAATATTCAATATTTCTTAATTACGCACCCGCACGTGTACCTATACCTATTTTATACTTCGATTTATTGCAATTTGGTTATGTTAAAAATTTATAATTTAGATTAGTTAAATTTATAAAAAATATTTTAATTGTCACTCTACATTATAATTATATTACACATAGATGTGTAGTTAATCTAAGTAAATTATGTTGTGTTGTCAATGTAAATTTTAGATTCTGAGCGGAGCGATGAATGTATTGGTTTTACAATGATGTATGTTTTTATATTTTAGATTCTGAGTGGAACGATGAATGTATTGATTTTACAATGATGTGTGTTTTTATTTTTATTTTTTTATTTTTTTATTTTTATTTTTGTGTCTGTGTACACGATAAGTAGTCGAAATAATGCTTCGATTTTCGACTTCAGTATCTTGTTCGATTGGAAAGTGAATATCGTTGGTGCATTGGGGAGATCAAAATTTAAAATTCCCAGTACTTTTCAAAAGCGCAAAGAAAAAGAAAAGAAAAATTAAGGAAAAACGGGAATTTTTACGCAAAATCGATTTTTCAGAAAATTGAATTTGGTTTTTGGTGTAACTTTAAAACAAATGACCGTAGATACATGAAATTTTCACTGGTTGTTTATATTTGCATTTTCTATACACAATAACATTTTCAAAATATTTTGATTTATTTTGAACTGTTTAGGGACATTTTCATTTTCCATTTTTTTTTAGTTTTTTTTCTAAAAATATCAATAAAATTTTATTTGTTGGTTGCGAAAGCTCGAAAATTTAATAGAAGGCTAATAGTATATTGTTTCAAAAGCAGATGAAAAATATTAAAAATCCTTAGTCACAATTTTTTTTTATAAGCATTTAAAGTTCAAAAATTGACAAAATATGGAAAAATCACGAAAATTAGCACATTATTTTGAATTAAGAATTCGTAAAAATTTTTCTTTTTAAATCTAAGATTTGAAAATCTAATACAATATTACTCATAAGTTTGTCTACCTTTATCAATAAAAAAATCTCTACCGGACAGTCAAATTAAATTTTTATGAGCGTTTGAAATTCAAATTTTTACAACATTGGATGCTCACTCGATTTCTTATGTTGCGATTCCTTATTTTGTTGTTATTCATAAACGAATAATTATAGATACATGAAAATGTCACCGAATCTTTATATTAGCATTTCCTATACACCATACAATTTTGAAAATATTTTGACACTTTTTGAGCTGTTTACGGATAGTTTCATTTTTCATTTTTTTTTAGTTTTTTTTTCTATGAATATCAATAAAGTTTTATCTGTTGGGTAAAAAAGTGTAAAAATTCAATACAAGGCTCCTGATATATTGTTATAATATCAGTTGAAAAATTTTAAAAATACATAGGCACAATTTTTTTTATAAGCATTTAAACAACAAATTTTGACAGAATTTTTCAAAATCTCGAAAATTATTAATCATCGTAATTAATAAATTATAAAATGTTCAGTTTTTATAGCTAAGGATTGAAAATTTAAAACAAGATTAAACGTAAGTAGGTAATTCTCTTACCGAAAAATCTAAAAAATATACGATCACAGTTTATTTTTATAGTAATTTTATGTTCAAATTTGGACGAAATTACATATTAAAAAACCTAGTTATTTTGTTGTGATTATATAATATTATTCATAAACTTCTAAAGTGTACTATAGTGTATTATATATATATATCTATGATAGTATCAGGGTTTGTTATTGATGTTGATGTATATTGTTTTATAAGTACCTAATGGATATTGTGATAATGTGATATGATTAATTTGGAATTTATTATAGGTCAATTTTTTTTTTAATACCATAGATATGTATATAATTTGTCTTAAACCTAGACTGACATACCGTCTTCGCTCAGAATCGTTTTTCTTATACAATGATATTGTATCATTGAATTCAAATTTAAAAGCATCCATTATACAGTGACCCACTTGTAACCTACTGTACAGCAGAGCAACATCCACTTACCCACCTTTTTTCATTTTGTTTTAGTTTTTTTTTTAGAAATATCAATAAAATTTTATTTGTTGGTTAAAAAAACTTGAAAATTCAATAAAAGGCTCCTAGTATATTGTTTCAAAGTCAGATAAAAAATATTAAAAATCCTTAGTCACAATTTTTTTTATAAGCATTTAAAGTTCAAAAATTGACAAAATATGGAAAAATCACGAAAATTAGCAAATTATTTTGAGTTAAGAATTCGTAAAAATTTTTCTTTTTAAAACTAAGATTTGAAAATGTAATACAAGGTTACTCATAAGTTTGTCTACCTTTATCAATAAAAAATCTCTACCGGACAGTCAAATTTAATTTTTATGAGCGTTTGAAATTCAAATTTTTACAACATTGGATGTTCACTCGATTTCTCATGTAGCGATTTCCTTATTTTGTTGTTATTCATAAACAAATAACCAGGGGCGCATTAAGGGTTCACATATGGGGGGCAAAATTATTTTGCGCCCCTGGTGTATTTTATGAATATTAATGAAAGTATAAAAAACTTAAAAAAAATTTCGACTCTTTTTGAGCTGTTTATGGACATTTACAGCTTTCAATTTTTTTTAGTTTTTTTTTCTATAAATATCAATAAAGTTTTATCTGTTTGGCCAAAAAGTGTAAAAATTTAATAAAAGGCTCCTGATATATTGTTACAATATCAGTTGAAAAATATTAAAAATACATAGGCACGATTTTTTTTTATAAGCATTTAAAGTTGGAATTTTGACAAAATTTATCAAAATCTCGAAAATTATCAATCGTTGGAATTAAAAAATTATAAAATGTTCAGTTTTTATAACTTAGAGTTGAAAATTTAAAACAAAGATTCTCTTAAATAATTCATACTGTAACCAAAAAATCTAAAAAATATATAAACACACTTATTTTTTACAGACATTTTAATTTCAAATTTAGATAAAATTTCATATTTAAACCAAGAATTACGATTTTAGTTATTTTGTTGTGATTGAATAATATTATTCGTGGGTACTTGAAACTTCTAAAGTGTACTATTATATATCTATGATAGTATCACGGTTTTTGTTGATGTATAACGCGTTATAAGTATCTAATGGATATTGTGATATGATTAGTTTGGAATTTATTATATGTATAATAAATTTATTATAGGTCAATTTTTTGTTTAATACCATAGATTTGTATATAATGTCTTATACATAGACTGACATACCGTCACCGCTCAGAATCGTTTTTCTTATACAATGATGTTATATCATTGAATTCAAATTTAATACCATCCATTATACAGTGACCCACTTGTTACCTACTGTACAGCAGAGCGACACCCACTTGCCCACCTTTTTTTATTTTTCTTAATATTAATTATTTTTAACATACCTATTCTTTGGAATATGAATATTACATTTATTTATGTCAATATTTCTTTAAACCCATGCCCAATTTTCAAAAAATAATTAATTTATACTTTTTTATTTGAATAAGGACACTTAATTTTCTTTTTTCTTTTTCCCAGCGTTATTAAAAAATACTGGGTAATTTTGACCTCTCCAATGTACCAACAAGATTTACTTTCCCATCGAACAAGGTACTGAAGTTGAAAATCTAAGCATTATTATCCCTTCTTATAGTGCACACAGACATAAATAGAAAAAACCACACATCTTTGCAGAATCAATACATTCATCGCTCTGCTCAGAAGATAAAATATATAAACAGTTTTTTTTTATGGACATGTTATTTTCCAATTTGGAAGAAATAGATGTGATTATAGTTATGTTTTTGTAATTTTAAAATATTATTCTTGGGTACATGAAACGATGAAACCTTTAAACTTTAAAGTATATTATTATATTTAAAAGGACATGTACCATGTACCATGTGTTGTCTTCGTCTTACAAGTGCGTAACATAGCAAATTTTACGCTCAGCAGAACAGTTTTAAAATTAGAGCGAATTGACCTCTTATAAAATCTAAAGGTAAGATTATTATCTAGGCAACCTCATGGGCTTTTTATTATATTTTAATTGTAACGCGAGTTATGAGTATTTTAAGATTTATAAAATATGTTCTAAATATTTTTAACCTACTGTTCATAATATCAGTTTATAGACGTCATGGTGATATAATTTTTAAGTATTTGTAGTAGTTAATAGTATTTATATCAAACATTTCTTACTTAAACTTAAACATTATATTTTTTAATGTGACTGAATACCGTGTGAACGGTTGTTTGAAAAAGGATTCATAAGTAGGGACCTATTAAATAGTATTAATAGAATTATGTTGTACAATAATACAACCATGTAATTTCTAAACAAATTATAATTTAATACACATGTACATTATAATTTATAACAAAACATTATTACTGTACATAAGAAAACAACTATTGTAAGTCTTGATATTTAATAAGGCAGTCTTCAATCGAAAAACAAATTATGCTATCTTTTATTTTAATTTGTTCCTAAACTCTAGTAAATTGGTTATGTGTCACATTTTTCATAAAACAACATATAAAAAACTGATTGTAGAACGTGTTGTAATGTAACTTCTTCAATGTGTGCATCGGAAGTGAAATACCACCTACAAATTTTAAATAAAACAAATATAATTAATTTTTCTATTATTCATATCACAGAATAAGATAATGAAATCCAAATTAATGGGCTGCTTAGGTTTATTAACTAGTTTATACAATGATTGATAAAAACAGTTAGCACTCAATACGTAATTTCTGATTTCCCCCCTTCCTACATAAGCCAACCATAAATTTTTAATGGCTTTCTGTCACCCACCCACCAACCTGTCTGTTCGTTCCCACTCCAATTTATCTTATTCATAATTTATATAGCATATTTTGCTTAATATTTTTGAAACTAAATGCACCTTAATAATAAGTGTAAACAATTCCATATAACTCTCGTTTACATTACATATGTATAAAAATGGGGTTTTCTTTAAAATTATTAAGCAATATTTGAATACTAATTTTTAATTATTTGTAATCTTACAAATATAATTTATCAAGAAATCTCTGATTTGTCATATATATTACTTTTGAACCATTGTTAAAAAGTTTGAATACTTTCAGAAAAAGATATAATTACTTATAAGAGTATTAGGTGACATTTGGTTGTAGTAATACAATATCATATTGGTAATTATATAATTTATCAAATTTATCATAAAATAATTGAAGTAATTATACTTTATTAATATTTCTTATCAAGGTCTGTTAAATGTTAATCATGCAAAATAATACACAACAACAAAATATATTATGTGTTAATACAATTTCCTGATAATGTAAGTAAATATTAAAAAAAAATATATTTTGTATTTTGGAGATTTCAATAGAGGGGGGCTATGAAAATGGGAGGCATGCAAAATATTGAAATACCTTGTTTCACTGCACCTGTGTCTAGAATGATCTGTTGTGGTTCCTCTCCTGTAAGTACTGAAATGACCAGTATTATGCTCACCAACATGGACAATGACAGCTTTTAACCTGTATGTATACTTATTTCCTCTTAACCTAAACAATGTATATTGTTTAAAATTAAATAAATTAATCCAAGGTAAATAATTTAAAAATATAAGTAAGCAGCAGCACAATACCAAAAAACACGAGACATAAATGTATAGTTAAGCTGTTTATCAACTAGCTATAGTAAAAAAATAATAAATCCATAGAGAAAAAGTCATAATTTAAAATTATTCCATTTCGAGATAAAATTAAAATCACACACATATACAGTGTTCAAAAAACTAATTGAATTTTTTTATGTAATTTTAAAACAATTAACACATTTTTGTCTTCAAATTGCAAAATTAATGCATTCACTGTTAAATAAATATTATTCACATTGGACATTTTCAAAATGTAGTAGTACAAAACATGATATAAAAACAAAGTATGATCATAACTTTTTGATGGTCAGATCCTTCGGTAAGCACGTGACGTGGCGTAGTGTTTAGTAATAATAATTTAATGATAATACAGATAAGTAAGTGACCTACTGCGCGGACTTGGACCAAATCTGGACTTTTGAGATCATACCATGTTATTTATATCATGGTACAAAACTTATAATTATGAATAATTATCACCTTTCTAATGGTTCAGAAGAACTCTTTTCTCTAGATTGCCTAAGCTTGCTTAATTGGTCATAAACACTGGTATATTTATCCATGTATAAATATTCTGGAAATTCCACAAAATCTTTTCTTTTTAATGGTCTGTCTTTAGAATATTGAGTTCTTACTAAGTGTAGACATAAACATGAAGGTAGCTATAAAAATATGATAAATTATTATTAATCAACTTTTTAATTAATTAAATAACAATAAATTACTTTTCCAAATTTGACACTCTTTATATATGATTTTCCATCAGTTTTGGTATTATTTTTATCACAGTTTGTACATGGCAGATTTTCTAGTTTCTCTTGTTTTATATACTGGTCTAAAATATCTGTTAATTCAATTTTCAGTTGAGGATATTCAGGTAAACTCAATGATATAACATAAAATTTTTCATAATTTAAGGATAACTAAAAAAATTAAAAAAATTAGTAAGTATATATATTACAGATACATACTAAATATATTTAAAAATACTGAAAATTCCACCTAAATATTACATTTTTCCAATAATCTTTAAACAAAGAACATTTACCTCCTCTTTATTGAAAATACTAATTGATTATATTTTATAAATAGGCACATACAAAGACGTAGAGCAGCCTGTGGCTGTTTAACTGTATGACTCATTTCGGGACTTTTTTGCATGCGGACGGCTGTATGGACTCTTTATTCTAGACTTCATGGTTATGGGTATTTAAAAATTCTAATACTTTACATAAATCTATCTCACTTTAAAATTAAAATATCAATAAAAACCTAAGATATGCCCAGATGATATTGTTACCATTATATTTGATAATAGATAAATTCACACTAATATTGAAGCTAACAACACAAAATTGGTTTGCTGAACTTAAATTTGTTATGTTTGAGTGTCCTGGAGAGGGTAAACATAATATTATACTACATTGATATCATTTTAGAGAAAAAAAATGGTTCTTATACAGTATAAGTCTACCTTGTCTAGGCAATCTACTCTGGGCTACAGGGTTCGCAGAAATATTATGATAGATAGCATACTGTATAAGCACCAAACAACATATAGTTAAGCTTTAAATGCCACTTACCATATGAAAAAAAAAAAATTGAAATGTATCAAATTATATAAATATTTTTTTTTAATCTAAAAATAAATATGCAATAATTTATTTTATTCATATTGTATTAAATTTTATCAGAAAAATAATTACTCTCAAGGGCAGAAAATATAGACAAATAAACTATAATCTTTTCCAAGGGAGAACAGGACCTGTCTCAACTAAAACTGGTCACTGCCGTGCATATCTCACTAAAAACCATAATGTTGATACGACACTCTGGTCATGATGTCGATCACCATTAGCAGTTGGAAATATAGTTTTGTTTATAAGTCGATTGAGTGGAGGGAAATCATGGCCAAAGTTCATTCAAGATGTGCAAAATAGTCCTGTTCTCTCATGAAAAATAGTTATTATTTATTTATTAATTGAATACATACTTTGTGATGACATAAAGAACATTCTATATTATTTGACAAATAACCCAAAAAAGGTGATGGTTTTACATTTTGATTTTTATCCAACAATTTCCTATCACCTTGTAAGACTATATTTCTATAAAATAATTATTTAAAATGAATAAATTAAATAAAATAACATTACTTTTAATAATTATAATAATTAAATTACCCAGAAATATTAAGAATATTATTAGATATTACAGCTGTATTTTCTAATAAATCTCCTTCAGCTTTGGATGGATTATATACATTAATGCTGATATTATTTACAATCTTCATTGAATTCTGTATATTTCCTTTTTCTATTAAATTCCCATTACTTTCTAAACAATCAGCCAACTAAAAAATACATTTTATTACAAGGTATTGTTACAACACAATGTATATAAATTACACTTCTGATAAAACTGTTAACTTACACTACAACTTGTTTTGTATGCTTCATCTTCAATCACAGAAAATAAATGAATGAACAATTCATGAACATCAGCTTGAAGGTTTGGTTTGAAATGAAATCCAACTTTTGTCAATACAGTTACTAATTCTATTGGAGAAAGTATACCATCATCATTGTACCTAGCTCCTGTTAAAACTTTAAATTAAAAACAAAAAATAAAAACTGATTATTAGAGTTGAATAATTGTGGAGACTAAAAAGTGCTCATAATGCATGAGATCATCCAGGTTTATCAAAATATTTTGAGCATATTAATATTGCATCATGAAGACATTGTATAAAATACAGATAATATTTTAATATGATCAAAAACATTATATTCAATAATATAAATTTTATTTTATTACAATACAATTGGGTGGTTGACAGTAAAATATTTCAAAGTATATTATGTACAATGCAGCTCTATTAGATTAAATGAAATACATAAACTTAATTTGTATTATTTCTTTATTCTATATTATTGAAAACATATTTTTATAAACATAGCCTTACACAAATATATTTCTCAAAAACCTTACATTTAAGTGTTTTATTCAATGTGTAGGACACTGTTGAAGACTTAGATTGTTGATCAAGCCACTCGACAAACATAGGACAAGATGCAAGCGATTGTAATAAAGTATTTAAATAGCAAGTAGTTCCTAAATTTTGTAATCCACAAAAACCACCTGTAATCAAAAATTATATAGTTATATTAAAAGTAAATTCAATGATAAAACATCATATACAAAAAACGATTCTGAGCAGAGATGGTTTGTTAGCCTAGATATATTATATTATATTTAAATAGTTATTATTAATACAATAGCCAGTAAGTTGAATTAATATATATATAATAATATACTTTAGAAGTTTCAAGCAACCACAAATAATATTTTTAAATTTATTACACCAAAAACCAAAAACGATTATGTAAAAACTTATTTTGTGTATATAAATCCAGTTTTTTTAAAATTAAATTTTGTTTTTTCTGGGGCTTTTGGAAACTACTGTAAATGTTGATCTACCCAATGCACCAACAAGATTCACTTTCTCAACAGAAATTATACTGAAATTGAAAACCTAACAATTATTTCAAATACTTATTGTGTATACAGATATAAATAATAATAATAATAATAAAAAAAAACACACATTATTGTAAAATCATTACATTCATCGCACAGCTCAGAATCTAGAAATCTTCTGAAAGGGATGGGTGGTCATTATATTTTTAACTTATAAACTATGACCTAAACTATTTAAGTGTAACTTAAAATGCACCCAAATACAAATGTTTATAATTAATTGTTCCATTATATTCAGCATAAAAAACAATTTTAAAAAAAATATCTTAAATCATTTTAAAAAATCAATTGTTTTTTTTTATTTGGTATAACTAACAATGTAAAATGTAAAAAAAGGCGAAACACTTTTTTTTCATTCATTGCACTAAAACACACATTTTGGAAATAAAAATATGACCATTAAACTGCATTCAACTAAATATTTTAAATAACAAAACTGGATTATAAATTTTAATTATAGTACCTATGGATTTTATCAAATGTATTATTTTATGCTTTTTCATATTGTAAAATAAATTGAAATACGACTGTCAAGTCATCATTAAGATTTATTCTAATTATAATTGCCATGTAAAAGAAACAAAATTATAATTATTTGCATAATTTAAAAAAATAAAAATAAAACTTATATGAACAGCATTAAATTAATATGAAAGAAGACAATATTATTTTGTTTTTTGTAAGTATGATTCAATTTAACCTTTGGTAGTTAATAAACTAATTATATACTTAGTAAAACGTTTGTATTCTGTACATTCTTAACACCGTTAGAAATGTATTAATCAACATTACTAAAAAACTACATTTTTTCTTCTTTATTTAAAAAGATTATATTGATAAAGTCATTATGATGTTTTCTATACAACTAATTACAATTTATTTTTTTTTAAATATTTAAGTTAGTTAAGGTTAACTAACTTTTTCTTGTAGATTTTGGTTTATTCGATGGACCAAATAATACATAGGCTACTAATGCTATTCCAGCTCCAGTTACACCAATAAAAGCTAAATGGTTTCCATTTATCTTAAACATTGTTAAATTTATAAATTCATAGTTGTCACTGTAAAAAATAAATCATCATTCACCAACAATTATACATAAAAATGAAAACTCAACTATTCTACTAAAAAGATAGAAAATAGGTAAAATAAAAACGAAAACCCGAATGAACTTTGGAATCTGTACTATATAGTAAGATACTTATAAATTAAAATTTGCACTTTGAAATCACATGATAACCAGATAACACCCAATTTTCATTTTTCCCTCACCTGAAAAAATTAACCATATGATATTGTGATAAAAATCGAAACAGTGTGGCTATTTTTTAAAACAATATTAATTTAAAATAATGATTTTGGCAGCAGCTGTTGTACAGCAGGGACGTGAGCAAATACGGACTGGTCACGATTAAAGATATACAGGTTGCACATCGACTACTGATAAGGTGAAATACGAAATGACTACCAATAATTAACCAGTGGCGCTCCAAGCGGCAGTATTACAATTAACCAATTATAGATATATAGGTGTAAAATTAGTTCTAAATGTCGACACATATGGTTGAGTGTTGAGATTAAGCGCCACTAGTTAATTATTAACAGCTGATTTTTATAGTCACTTTGTAAATCAGTCTGGAAGCGGTTTACTATAGGGCGATGTGCAACCTGTATATCTTTAATCGTGGGACTGGTACATAATGGCATACTGTTCTATGATAACGGTATCCACATTCACAGACTTCTATACTACACTAGATAAGGAACTCTTATACAATGCACATTGTTACAAGTGAAGCTCATCTGTGAACGGCCGCCATTTTCTCGGTTGGCAAAACATTTCATTTATTATACAAAATGTATTAGGAATAATATTTTTTTTAACGGTCAAATAAAATAGTAAATGTAAAATGACTTATATAAAATATTTTTTTTTTTTTTGTAAACTTAATGTTTAAAAATAATAAAATACGATATAAAATAAATCATAATATCATCTTATTTGTCATATGAAATACCATACAATTGCCAACAATGCCAACCGACCTTGAAGCTTCAATTCATGACCGGAGTTCGCTATCTAGTAATATATAGAAATCTGTGTCCACATTTAACCGGAAATTAGGTTAGATTTATGTTGATATAACATGTTTTCCTTTAAAGATAGATAATAGCAGAGTTTAGACTTTAGAGCAGAGAGTAATTGCTCGTTGCCCTGTGGTTCAGAGTTTAAGAGTTATGTTATACCTTTACAACTACTTGTAATTTGTAAATAATGTAATACTCTCCTAAGTCTTAAGTCTTAACTCTTAACCAGTTTACCATAACTTCCTCTTATAGTCTTACAGCCTGCAGCTATAAAAACATTTGAAAATATTCTTAAAAGTTAAAATGGCTAATAGATATTGCTCATTAGTTTTAGTAAATTCTACTAAAAAGAGATTTATGTCCACATCAAACTTAAAAACTATAATAACTGAATCAAAAAAAGAAATACCTATTGTTAAGGGTTTACCATTAGTTGGTACAATGTTTTCAATTTTGGCTGCTGGTGGTGGTCGTAAGTTACATGAATATATTGACAAACGTCATCAAAAATATGGTTCAGTGTTTAGAGAAAAGCTTGGTTCTGTTGATGGAATTTGGATTAGTAACCCTTTGGATATGAAATTATTATTTGCACAAGAAGGAAAATTTCCCGAACATATTTTACCAGAAGCATGGTTACTTTACAATGACACATATGGCCAAAAACGTGGACTCTATTTCATGTAAATTATTATAATTTTAATAACTTCATATTACTCATAACTTATAAAGTCAATAATTATTGTAAAATAAATTTAATATATTATATAAAAATCAACAACTTAAACAATATATAATTAATTTAGTTTTATATATAAATAAAAATACTATTTTAACTTTCTATTAATTTTAATTCTATATTTTATTTGTTTTTAGGAATGGAAAAGAATGGTGGAAATATAGACAAATATTTAATAAAGTTATGTTAAAAGATTTGAATGTAAATTTTATCAAATCCTATAAAATTGTAATTAATGATTTATTAAATGAATGGGAATTAAGTAATGGACAAGTGATTCCAAATCTTATAGCAGATTTATACAGAATTTCAATATCGTGTAAGCTTTTAGTGTTTTAATTTTTAATTAATTAATAATAAATGTTAACATTTTGTTTACATTGATTAAATATAACAAAGCAACAAATAAAAAAGCATTGATACCTAATCATTTTGTATATTTCAGGAATTATAATACTTAAATGTCAATCATGTAATTTTACTGATAGAAATTTGGTATAAATAGGATTTTCTATAAATACTACAATATTACAACACAATACATAAATAGTTGCTTCTTTATAATATGTTGGTACCTTATTAATTACATTGAGTTGATCGTTGTTTCCTATTCTTTATGTATTTAAAATTTTGTATTTACGAATAACAATGAAGTATAAATAATTTACAAATAATAATTGAATAAAAATAAGTTATAATTTTATGGGAAAAAAAACTATCATATAATTTCTTTATTTGTAATTCAAAGATATAGAAGATATGTTGTGTTAAGTTATCATCCAAACTGTATTTTTATAAGGTATACCATACTTTATTTTAATCATAGTTAATTTTTAATAGTTAATAATGTATACAAATTATTTAATGGTTTACAGTTATGGTGGCACATTTGGTTGGAAGAGTTTATGATGATTGTAAAAATGACTTATCAAATGATGTAAATTGTTTAGCACAATGCATACAAAAAGTATTTCAGTGTACTGTCAAATTTACAGTTATTCCTGCTAAAACTTCTAAATTATTAAAACTAAATATTTGGAATGATTTTGTAATTGCTGTTGATAATTCTATTGAAAGTGGTAAGATTTTATTAATTTCAATTATAAAGTTCAACCACCCCCACGGCCCACACCCCTCCCAAATGTATTGTTGATACGGAATTTTAATATTGCGATTAATTTATAATATTAATTAAATATATATTTTTTTAGCAAATAATTTAGTGTCAAAATTAATGAGCCTTAATGGTGATGGTCTGTTAAATTCTGTGCTAAATGTTCATGACATACCTATTGATATGATTAAGAGGTTAATGATTGATTTTATAATCGCAGCTGGTGATACTGTAAGGCCTTAAAAAATATTATGTAATATTTAATTATTTACATATTTATAATTTGTTTAGTTATTATTCGCTAATAGAAAATTTGTGTATTTATAGACTGCTTATTCAACTCAATGGTCTTTATATACTTTAGGGCTTCACAAGAGTATACAAAATAATCTAAGACATAGCCTATTAGAAAATGATTTCTTGGAATGTGATTATTTAAATAATATTTTAAAAGAAGTTCTTAGAATGTATCCATTGGCACCTTTTATCACAAGAATTCCTCCAAGTGATATATATTTAACAGATCACAAAATACCAGCAAATGTATGTTCATGTAAAAATCCTTTTATATTGTGAATATATATAATTATTTTTATTTAACTATTGATTTTTAGAGTTTAGTCATTATGTCTATGTTCACAAGTAGTAGAAATGGAAAATATTTTAATAGCCCCAATGAATTTATACCAGATCGCTGGAATCGTCTAAAAAGTAATAAATATAATGGTGTAAATGAGCCATTTGCAACCCTTCCTTATGGATTTGGTGCAAGGTCGTGCATTGGACAAAAAATGGCACATATTCAGATGTGTTTAACACTATCAGAGGTATAACAAAACTGAAAAAACATGAACTCATACTTACTAATTTTAAGAGGACACAACACCCAGAAAATATGTATTCAGTATTTCTAATTTTGTGTTTTAATAATAGGGTGAATTGACTTATTATCAGCATTAAAAGTAAGAAGATAATCTCCATTTTCTCATTGCTTTTTATGATATTTTAATTTATAAGCGAGTTATGAGAAATTTTAAACTAATGTTTTACATATTTATATATTATAAAACTTGCTTATTAAAGTATCTTAAAATACTTGCAAGAAAGCATGGATACTGTTATTTTTGAAAATACGGCAAATCACTCTATTGTTAAATGATATTGCACAAAATTGGAATTGCTTAACATAAAATAATTCAAATCTTTTTTTTCTTACATTATTCTTTAACAGTATAACGAATGCTATAAAATTATTGTAAGTTAATAAAAAAGTAATAATTCACACTCATCATTAGAGCATGCAAAAATTATTGTGGGAAAATGTACAAATTGTAGTTGTTGAATGTAAAAAATGGACAATGGTGGTGTTTTGTACTGAGGAAAATTATAAACTGTTATATAATATTATTTATTATCCAATGAATAATCTACTCCATCATGCACATTATTTACATTACCTCCTGTATTATATTGACTGTTTATGGGTCTATCATTTGATATTTTACAGTAAATACAAGTTACAACTATAAAATATTTCATCTTATTTTTGTCATAATGGAATGACTGGATGAGGATAAACACATTTTTTTTTCTATTATAGAATAACCTTTAGCAGCTTAGATATTGGGAATTGTACATAGTTTGTAATAATAGATTTACTATTTACATTTTTAATGTGGATGGTATTATTTTTTTTTTATGGTAGATATATATTAGGAGGTTACTTGGCATGAGTATGCACAAAATAAAAAAATAAACCACCACATTGTATTACAAGAATAAAAAATTTGTCTCTACCTTTATTCAAAATATGTTAAAATATTTTTATTTTAATTTAGTGCAAATGTGTTGTAATCTATAAAAATTTAATGATTTGTGTATTTTTCAATATAGTGCATCAAAAGATATAATTTACATACAATGCAACCAGTTGAAATTGCATTAGATTTGATTACAGTGCCAGATGATCAAATAAATATAAAAATACATAAGTTATAATTTATAAAATTGATAAATAATTAATCTTTATAATTCAATACATGAGTATACAAATATTGTATTATCTCCAATTTGTATCTATTAAAATGTACAATATTAAGTAAGCATACAGATAGAGGCAATATGTATTTACCAAGTGGACATTTTTTTTTTTTAATTCATTACAACTAAATTTTTGTTACAATGTTACATAACTTACATTATATAATTAAATTTTACTTTTTAATATATATTGTCATTTTTCAAGTTAGTATAAACATAATATAAAAATTGTAATTTATTTTTTATTGTCGTTCTTAAAAATATGTTACATTTTAAATTGTTATGGATAATAAAATTACTAATGATCTTACTTATTTTTTTCCACACAAACATAAAATGAGCATTCTTATTCATTGGTCTCCAAAACTACTATAATATATGCATATGCATTTTTTTGTAATTACTATGTATAATGATTAATGGATATGTGCACTAAGATCTTTTTCATGGCTTAATTTGTTTTGATTGAATCAAAATATTTTGACAAGCTATGGTGTACCTATACCTACTACAGTACTACCTAGGGAAATATTTATCAAAACATTTGACATTTTAAAATTTAAACAACCAAAACGCGTGTACTTACTGATTTGTGAGTTTATAAATAGCAACATCTATTTTTGATACCCACCATATTTCGTTTAGCCCAATGGCGTCCCCGAACATTTTGTTAAGGGATGATTGTGGGGGAGATAGGAGGGATAAGGTATAAACTCACACTCAATCTTTGCCTACTTATAGTTTTAAATTGCGTATTATTGTATATTATATTTATATTACAGCACCTAAAAATATTTTGTTTAGCTCAAATCACATAATATAGCATTAGGGAAGTCTGGAAAAACCCCTACCGATGCAAGCAATTTTAGACCTGTCACACTGCTATGCCATACGGCATACATACCTATACGATTTTCAAACATAGGCGCAATTTGGGTTGAACTTATGGGGGTGCTAGATTTATATCGAAATAAATGGGGGTTTACCCCACACATCCCCTTCCATTCATACAACTTTATTTTATACACCTTCTCATTAATCTTAATACAAATAAATACACTTTTACCTATATTATTATTCTGATACTTATGTATCATTATTCATTATTATTATGAATAGGTGTCTTAGAAATAATTGTATCCAAATACCTATGGCATAATTTTATAGACAATAAAAATTCGATGATGCTATCAAAAATTTGGGGGTGCCAATATAATTTTTGGGGTTGCTAAGCACCCCCCAAATTGCGCCTATGTTTTCAAAAGAATGTAGGTATTCCTACTGAAATTATAAGGTATACGATTGACTGGATGCTTATCAAGCAACAGGCTGGTTTTAGGTTAGTAAGTCACGCAGGGCCATAATTGAACATTTGCGCCCTGGGGCAACATATTTTTGAATCCCGGAATAAAAATCCCCAGACTACAATATTACTCACAACCTCATGCAAATGGTTGAACAAATATTTTTTAAACGTTAATTAGTATCTATAATTACGTGTTCTTCTTTTGGCAATTCTAATAATATTGCATGTGGTACATTACTCACAGACTCAGCAAATATTTGACTCGGTGTTGCATGTGATATTTGTGCTTTTTTCTTCGTTGTATTTTGTAATTTTAAAGCAGTGACTGCATTTTTATTAGGATCATGTACATGGTCATGATAAAGACCAACAAATATTGGATTTTAAATATTTAAACTAGTCTTAAGTACACTCGGACATTTTAAAGAGCTAAATTTAGAACATCGCCAACGTAAAAAATTTGAACACTCTTTTTGAAAATGTTCTGAATCCAAATTGGGTATTTGGTATAACTTTTTGGGACTTAAGAATGGGTCTGATTCGTTTTAGCATCACTTATTGTTCTAATAATTTCCCTAAAACTGGTAATAGACTTATTGGTCTGTATAAGGAAGGTTCATTTTTTTGGTTTGTTAGAATTACTGATAGTTTCTATATTAGAGAGAAGTAGGACAATCTCAGTATGGAATTATTATAAATGTATGTGAAAAGTATGGATAATGTCTTAAGAAGATACTTGAGTAACTTGTTTGTTATTTGATCGTGTCCAGGTGTTTTTTGATTTTTAGGTTTTGTATCAGATATTTTATTTTGTTAGGAGTGTATGCTTGTTAGGGAGTGACATAGGTTAGGTTGTAATTTTATTATAAATTTATAAATAGCTAAATATAGCCATTATACTGGTAAATATCTGGTAAATTACCGGTAAATATCCACCAAGACCCACAATAATACTTACTTTTAGTTATAAAATCATTTTAGTCTGCGCTGTGTCCTTCCATCTCGCTGTGCCAAGCAATAGATTTGTTGGACTGCCAATTAAGAGAAGAATGGTAGTGGCCCATTAAAATACAACACGACAATTATTTTTGAAGTTTTCTGGAGTAGGTAATATTGACAATATTATTATAATAATACTCGTGTTATTTATTAAGAAAATGAAATTGTTTACAATTCTAAAACATAGGCACACCGCACAACAGTGACGCCAAAGTTTTTAAAACGTCAGTGAATTTCAAAACTTCGTGTCCTCAATATCTTAATTATTTAATATATAGAGGCACCCTAATAAACATTTATTTATCATGGCTTAAATATACACACGATGCTCATAACAAAGTTATGATGTAAATAAAATGTTGCCAGTCGGGACTTTATAGCATGGACTTCGGGTATAGTGGCGTGTAACGAAGTGAAATATTATATCGGGTAATTCATTTTTTAAATTACCTACCTCTCCTCGATTTCTTAATATAATACTTATTATTGAAGTTATTATTCTTATTAAATATCATATTCACTATTCAGACGAAGTTAGTCTTTAGAAGAAGTATTCAGAGCCACTGCCACACAGGGACAATAGACACACATACAAAATTAGAACGTAAAGAACGTTCACTTACGGAATCTCTATACTCACGACTCTTGGGTGATGGCCGAACGGGCGAAGGCAGTCGCATTATTATAATTTTGGAAATAACTAATTTAAATTAATTTTTAATTTCTATCATCCAATACGGGTGTTGACTGTTGAGTGTTGACGGTTTGTGGATAGGTATATGTTTTCGATTAATTTTATTTAATTTTTTTAAATTAATTTTACGTTTATTAATTTTATTTATTGATAGATTATTGTACACGGGCACACGGCACAATAAATTAATATGATCGATACAGGTACCTACGCAGTACGCCTATATATTCACATTTCACATTCCGATTTGAATGTTCGGTGTGTTAATACATGAAATAAATAAACAATTTCTTGTTTTGAATTTAAAAATGCATATTTTGAGTACCTATATTTTAAGGGTTTAAGATCTGGGTATAAGTCCGGGCTATCCCCCTCTTATAACCATTTACCGCTAGAGTCTTACAAAATATTTAAATGCACATGCATATGAGCATTACTGAATACTTTGAATTAGGTAGGTACTCTATAAAAATCAGTGAAACATTTTAACATGGCATTTAACATATGGCTTTATACATACATTATACTCTATTTCAAACATTACCTAATAATTTACTGTATGTCTGTATAAGTGTATAACTGTTATTTTAAGTCATTTAAGATAATATTCTTTGCGGAGCACTTACTCACTGAAGAAAACAATTTAAAAGTGTTGACCTTTTTTAACATAACATTATTATTACTCGACTTTATTATTGACTTCCTTTTTTCTTTTTAACATAGGTATTTGTGTTACATACATGTTTATAGTTACTATCACCTAGACAACTGTTATTAAAAAAGAATAATAAATATTTATTGTAGCCTTTGGGCCTATAATACAATATGTTATACATACACAAATACATTAACACATCAAAAATGTGTCAATCACCTGATGACTATAACTACCTACGTGCCGATGTACTTTATATTTTACTTCGTTGAATTTATTTTTGTTTGTACACTATTCGTTCTTGTCGTTTGAACTAGGCATACTACTTGTATTATTAAATTTAATAGCAAACGGCGCAAGCATATTAAGATATAAATATATATCATTTTTTTTTTTACATTTTATAGGTATGATTTAAATATATTATATACATTATTAGAAATAATAACAACATATTATTCACATAGAAGTTCACAGTATTTTTTACTTAGTAGTTCACACATCATATACACACAAAGTATTGTATGTATTTCTTTACAGACATTATATTATATTGTATGTTAATGTTTATGTAAATCACTTTCAGGAACATATACAATTTGTTAAGATAATATAATGGAATTTGGAAGTATTGATATTGTGAAATATATGTTATTCATCTTTAATGTGATATATGGGGTGAATCAATATTTAAAATACTAAATACCTACCTATGGTTCCTGATATTCACAATAATATTTAAAATACCTATTCATATTTTTAGATTACAGGAGTGGCTTTAATAGTAATTGGTATCATAGTTATTGTAGATTTGGGACGTTTTTCAAATTATTTAAGTGTTTCAATTATGGCTCCACCAATATTGTTTATTATATTGGGTCTATGTATTATAGCAACATGTATATTTGGATTTTATTGTATTAACAAACAAAATTTAAATTTATCAATAGTGGTAGGTATATCAACAACCATAATAATATATTAAATTAAACTAATATTATATAATAATTAAATATTATATTTGTTTATAGTTTACATTAATTTTACTATCGGTTTTGATAGTTGAAGTATTATTATCTATTATGTCATCAGTATCCAAAGACAATTTTAATAATAATTTGAGATTTTCTCTAAAAACATCCATGGGAAAATATTCATTTGATGAAACTCATCGACAGTCGTGGTCTACAGTTCAACGAAAAGTATGTTCATACATTTTAAATAGTGTTTAATGTTTGAGTATGAATCATAGATAATATATTATATATTATATTATATACTATCCATGATGGTATGAAGTATGA